TTTTAGTTATAAAACGTATTCCCGGAATACGTTTTACAAATAATTCACATAACAACGTATTCCGGGAATACATTTTTGGTTAAATATATATAAAAAAAAAATTCCTTTCTTCTTCCTTGCGCGAACAGAGAGAATTTACAGAGGGAAAAAAATAAAGAAGAGAGGGAGCGAGCGAGAGAGAGCGAGAGATCGAGAGAGCTAACGAGCAAAAAAAAACCACCGCCACACCGCCGTCGATTCATCCTTCCCGTTTATTAGGTAAATTTCTTCTATTATTCTTTCACTTTTTCAATTTTTTCAGATTTTTCAATTTTTACGAATTTTTTCAATTTTTTCGAAATTGGATTTGTATTTTGTCGAATTGTTCGAAATTTCTTCGATTATGTTTCTATGTTGAATTGGAGATTGGGAGTTGAATTGAGATTGTTGGAATTAGGGCTTCGATTTGGGATATTTCGAATTAGGGCTTCGAATTAGGGTTGTTCGATTTATTTGGGATATTTCGAATTAGGGGTTTCGAATTAGGGCTTTGAATTAGGATTGTTCAATTTTAATTACGGCTTATTCGATTTAGGGCTTCAAAATTAGGGCTTTGAATTAGGGATTGTTCGATTTGAATTAGGAATGTTCGGATTAGGGCTTCGATTTGGGATATTTCGAATTAGGGCTTCAAATTAGGGTTTTTTGAATTCGGATTGTTCAATTTTGAATTAGGATTGTTCAATTTTAATTAGGGCTTGTTCGAATTAGGGCTTCAAATTAGGGTTTTGAATTAGGATTGTTCGATTTGAATTAGGAATGTTCGATTTGAATTATAATTTTTTTTATGTGTCTATAGTGGATAATTGAGTGAAAATGCATGATGTGAAATTAATTGGTTTTTCATTTGAAGTTATATGATTTCTTATATATTTGTTTCCGAATATGCTTTCTTAGTACAATGTAATGACGTTTGGTTTTTTGTTTTATTTTTTTTTTAAATGTAGAATATGGCATCTTCGTCCACCTCACAGGCTAGCCGGTACCATGTACAACCCGGTCCCATTGACCCGTCACTTCTATATCTTAAGGACAACCACCGGGCTATGGCGGTCTATCGAGATGAGCCCGATTATCGTAACGGGAGTATTAGAAACCGCCGGAGTGACACTGAGTTCTGGATAGCCTTGGAGAAGCAACATGTTAAAGTCTGGGAGCAGATTGATAGGGCAGGTTTTGGCCCCTTGTCCCGAATGGGCCGGGTAACGGCGGACAACAGCCTCCTCACATGCCTGGTGGAAAGGTGGCGACCCGAAACGCACACCTTCCACTTCGATTGCGGGGAGGCCACAATAACGCT